TGTCTTTATCAAGGCTTTTCAGAATGAAGGACTGACTCCAGCATGGAAAGAACCTTACAAATCCCTCAGCTTTCAAGGTTGATGGAATTTCAACATGAGTTCATCATTCTAATGTCAAGCAGGTGAAACAGTGGACTGCTGAACTGGGATCCGATCTTTAAAGATAAGACTGGTCTGGTCATAATTGTGAAGCTTGTCCTTATTGTCACTGAGCTGATGAAACCGAGCTCTGGTGAAATGCAATGGGGAAAGAACTACTCCTTTCTCCTCACCTCATTTAGCTCAGGAGAAATCCTAGGTAATGTTACTTTTGGTACCATTCACCCTTGGCATCATCATAATTTGCCAGAGGTTGGCTTCTGTATATTTGTTAGGAAAGAGTGGGGGGTTACTAATATCAGTCTATATACCTGAGAGGCCAGGAATTTTACACATACCCAGGATTCAATCCATCTGGGCAGCAGGGCTGTTGGTCACCAACTGATTTCTACTGCCCTAGTTGGGCCTATGAAAAGATACCTCTTATAGTGCAGGCACAAATACTACTAATGATCTCATAGTATGGAAACATGGGTGCTGAGTCAAAATCCTGATACAAAGACACAGGGACTTAAAGTGGGTCACAGGATGGAATTGGGGATTCCAATTTTGGCTCCCCAGACTTATTCCTAACCCTGGGACAATCATTACCCTTCACACCCAATTGATAAGCCGGGTATGAGGCACTCCATAGAAGACCTAATGGAAATAAAGGACCCTTGCTTGAGCCTCACATTGTTATCCTTCCCTTGAAGCATATTCTCTTAGCTACCAGCAAAGTGGACATCTCATGAGTGCTGCCTCCCTCCATGTTCTCCGTGCTGGGAGCCATCCACACAATGTTAAACATGACAATCAGATTTGGCTCCAGATTGTTGGCTCTGTCTAAAAGCAAAACTTTCTTATTATGTGGGTGTGGAGGCCTTAAACCCAATCAAAACCTTAAAAACTACTGCAGCATGCACCTCTACAAAGCCCCCATTGACAAGTGGCAAAGTTTATGGAAATGCAACCTGTCTGACAAATTCTTATGTTATGAGTAAGTTCTCTTTACCTACCATATGTAGCCAAACCTTGACTCTGGAAAATTAAAAGGCTTATTTTACCCATAATGGAACTTGGTTAGCTTGTACCTTGGGGCTCACTAGGTGTGTCAAAACTCCTGAGGAAGTTACTAGACGTGAGGTCTCCCTCAAGCATATGTGTACAGAGGACTGCAGGGATGAGATTTGAAAGCATCCCTAGAACTACCACACTGACAGAAGAGTCATTCCAGTTTTGTTGGGATTGGGGGTAGCTGGCTTCATGGTACTTGAAACTACCACGTTGGCTAGAGGAGAACTTGGACTCTCAGCTTTATCAGAACAAGTAGACACTGACCTAGAGAGCCTGCGATATGTCCTTGTGAATCTTCACTCCCAGGTGGAGTCACTAGCTGAAATGGTCCTCCAAAATCAAAGGGCACTTGATCTAGTGCTCTTGTCACAAGGGGGAGTATGTGCTGGTCTAGGGGAGCCATGTTGTTTCTATGACAACAAGTCTGGTGTAATCCAAGATATTTATCAAAAGGTCAAGGAAAATCTAGATAGGCTTCAGAAGGAGAGAGAAATAAAAACTCATGGTATCAGAACCTGTTCAATTGGAGCCCTTGTGTAACTACCCTCATCATTGGAATGGCTGGTTCCCTCATGCTGCTTTTTCTTAGTCTCTTGATTGGCTCCTGTATTCTTAATTGAATACTCAACTTTGTAAAACAGTGCTTAGCCTCTGTTAAACTGATGTATATGAGGTTGTTCTATGATCCCTTGTACACTCAAGAGGCTCTAATTGAGTCAACCCTTTGACATCATGGTTATAGGAGATGGGAATGTGAGATCCAACCCAACTCTATTTTGAGGCTCACCACCATTTTGTCCCTGTGCTTGGACAAAGAACCCAAATCTCAGATCCTATTTGGCAGAAAATTTGCTGCAGGTGCAGGATTTTTTGTAGCTCACCTAGCATATGAAACTTCCTCTTGTCCCCCCACTAACATGTCATGGTTCTGCTTCTGTAAAATCTGCTTGCTCTACCCTTGAATCAACCTCAATGGAAAGTATGATTTAAAAGGATAAATCAAACCACTTTTCAGGGTGCAGAGATCTTTCCAGGCACTAGCTTCTCTTGATCACCCCCTTTAAATAAATGGATTCAAATCTCACTCAGAGTGTGGTGCATCTTTATAGTTCCCACTCACTTGGGAAGAACACTCAAAACACTTATAAGTTATATGTTGGTGAATGATTTTTTCTTAGATATTGACATTAGTGATGATTATTCTGTTTTCATAAAGTAGTGGTAAGAATTCACCCTCACAGAAACATTCTAAAACATGACATTAACCCTATCTCCAGTTAACCCTTAAGAAAATATTTCAGCTTTACTATTATGTTTTAATTTCTTGTTATTCTTCCCAAGATAACAACTGATGTGAAATTATATAACAAACCAGGTATTTTCCCACTAATCATTACAGAATGCATGATAATGTCTGGGCTGGTTATCTCTTTCTGCTTATTTTTCTTTTATAAAATTAAAAAATCAAATACATTAGAAAGATAAAATAATTTACATTAATATAGCTTGTGGAAGAAGCCAGCCAGCCAGACAAACCATGATATAATTTCTGCTCCATTTCTGTGGGGCCTGAGGATGCCTATTTATCCTCTCAATTCTGTTAGTGAAGAGTGGAATCCTGTAGAATGTGTAAGACATGAGGGGGCTCCTTAGTAACAGGCTAACAATCCAGTCCTGGCAGAATATATTTAGTCATAAAATTAAGATAAAAAACTGAATGTACTAGATTATAATAATTATTCCAAATTAGTTTTTTCTCACAAAGAGGGAAAGACTGGAGGAAATTATTATTATGTAAACAAAGTGTAACAAGTCTTGGATTGCTTTATTTTCTTCTTTGAATTTTAATGTTTTGTACTTTTTTACTAATGAATAAGCATTAGGTCTATGGCCAAGTCATTAACTTAAGTACTAAACACTTCCAGGACAAAAATTTTATTGTTCAATTATTAATAGTGTCAATTGTAAAGAAAATATTACTCAGGAAATTTCTCTTCTAACTTCCTAGTAAAAGTATCTTAACTCATAACTAATGTCAAGTGTGTGTAACTATGTGTCAATTTTAAAAAGTAAATAAATGAAAGCAGGAATTTGGAGCATCGCATGAAAAGAGAAACTGTTTATGTTGTAAATGTGGGGCTTCTATGGGAAAAGACAAAATTTTCTGTTCATTAAATCCTTGAACTTTTGTCCTTGGAATTGGCCCAAGAAATCTTCCCTGGAAATTGCTCCCCTAGGATGACTAAAGGCTGCAGTGTTCTGAATGTGCAGTATATGATGCTGACTGGGAGGAGAACCACACAGTGGTCTGTTTCCATTCACAGGTCCTTCTGGAGATTCTTTTCAGAAGAAACTTTGGAGTGAACTTTCCATCTGATCAAGACTTGAACAAAATTTCTAGGTTGATACATTTTACCTCAGAGAAACAAAATCTCTGCACAAAAACCTAAAGATAATTTACCCCTAGGAAAACAGATTACAACTATTTTCAGCTCACTATATTGTTTCTTATTTTATTTCTGAGAATATTTTGTATTTGACAAATTTCTCAACAGACAACATTAGAAGACCATTTTTTTAGTAACTTTGGTGCACAGTAAGTATCATTCTGAGAACTGGAGGGGATTGTACTCCAAGACAAAAGGAGATTTTATTTTTCAAAAATCTGCACACAAAACTTTTAGGCCTCACCATGAGGAAAATTGAGATTTGCAGAAAAAGGAATACAGAATTTGTGAAATCAAGTATACAACCAATCTACATATTCTTAAAATATAATTTTTTGATGAAAATTTATTTTGAATGGGCAAGTTAAAAAATACATGGTTACCAGAGCTGAAGGTCCATACTTCCTATAGCTGTCTCAAAAAAGTGGTGAAAATGTTATTTTGCTGCAAATAAAAGTGTTTATTTACTCCACAAGACAGACAGGAGCCACTTCTCTCCACAAATCTGTCTCCCTGTGGTGATTTCTGCCAGGGCTTTTGTGTCCAGGTGACTCCAAGCTCCCTGCCTCCCTTTTCCATGTTAAAGCAGACCTTAATTTCCTGGAGTAGTTTCTGAATTTTGTTTCCAGGGAGTCAAGATATTTCTGAGACAGAGCATTCATTCTCTGTGCAGTCATTTGAGTGGAGGCCAGAAAAGAATTCCTGCTCTCAGCCAAGTGAAGCTGGAGAAGCAACCCATTTTTAAAAATCCAAAAGTTTTAAAGTTAATTATTTTCTCTGTTACTACTTCAGGAATTTTATATTAATACAAATTATCTAAGTCCCCAGACAGAAATTCTTTTAATTAGTACAGTAAGTTATTGTAAACAATAGGACAGTGAATAATCCACCAAAAATGGTTTTTAGCATGGTCAATTATACATTCTCATTCAGGATTGGTAAAATAAATTCTAATCAGAAATACAGCACTGTATTTTCTCTGAAGTCAAATATCTAGGTAGCATCAGTGGTAATATGAAACTGCTCTTTTTTACAAAACTTATTCCTGTGCCCTTTTTTGGAAGTAACGTATGTGGATTATAGTCCTTATGGTATAATATTTTCCTGAGAATGAATGTGTTACTAATGGAAAGAGTTTAGATAGTGTCAGTTTCATTCTAAAAACAGAATGCAACCTTTTTATACATCAGAAACAAATGTCATTTTATGCCCACATCTATACTTGGTGATTGTGTTTCTTTTCACTCTTCTTCACAATGTTTTTCATCAATTTCTAGGAATAAAATGAACAGTACTGAGCCATTCACATAAACGAAAATATTTTTGGTGACAGTGTAATTTTTAAAATTTATTATTCAACAAATCCTATTATTCAACAAATAAGTGCAGCAGGACATCATGCGTAGATGGAATTCCACCAGTGTGCCTGACTTCATCTTCATGGGGCTGACAGACTCTGCAGAGGCAAAGCCGGTCCTCTCTGTGCTCTTTCTCCTGATTTACCTGATCACAGTGCTGGGGAACACAGGGATGATACTGATCATTCACCTGGATCCCCAGCTTCACACCCCCATGTACTTTTTTCTCACTCACCTGTCATTCCTTGACCTTAGTTACTCAAGTGTCATCACCCCTAAAACCTTACAGAACTTGCTGACTTCCACCAAGAGGATCTCCTTCCTGGGCTGCTTCACACAGATGTTCTTTTTCATATTCTTTGGTGGCACAGAATGTTCGCTTCTCTCTTCCATGGCCTTTGATCGCTATGTAGCTATCTGCAACCCTCTGCACTATCCAGTCATTATGTCCACAAGACTCTGCCATGTCCTGCTCACTTGCTCCTATGCTCTATCATTTGTGGATTCCACTGTGAATGTGGTTTGTATAAGCAGATTGCATTTCTGCAAGTCTAATGTCATTCAGCACTTTTTCTGTGACACATCCCCGATTTTAGCCTTGTCATGCAGTGACACTTTTGATGTTGAAATCATTATATTCATTTTTGCTGGATCCATTTTAGTGCTGTCCCTCATCACCATATCTGGATCCTATCTGTCCATCCTCTCCACTATCCTGAAAATTAATTCCACTTCTGGAAAGATAAAGGCTTTCTCCACCTGTGCCTCCCATCTCCTGGGAGTCACCATCTTCTACAGCACTGTCATCTTTACTTACCTAAAACCAAAGACATCCTACTCCTTGGGAAGGGATCAGGTGGCTTCTGTGTTTTACACAATTGTGATTCCCATGCTGAACCCTCTCATTTACAGTCTCAGAAACAAAGAGGTGAAAAATGCTGCTATTAGAGTCCTGCAGAAAATACCAAGTGTTAAACAATTAAAATAATAGTGATGCTAGGCATTTACCCTTTTCCATTTGTCTTTTTTCTTCTAAGAAATTATTTGCTCTCATTCTTAAAAAAAGTAAATCTTGTTTTTTCCCCTTTCCAGCTGCTCTTTGCTTAACAAACATGAATTTGCACACTTTTAGGCACAGTTACTTACAAATTCATACCATATTTAGGAGTCATCAATTACTTGTTAAATCTAAGATGCAAAAAGCTGTGCTGATCAGGAAAACTTTTGTGCAAAAAGAGAAAATTCTTGTTATTTTAAATACTATATCATTATAATATTTCTGGAAACATCAATTTTAGAGAGTTTTAGAATGCAAAAGCACTTCTTTTTCATATCTTTGGGTTTATAGTGACTTTCAGCAACAAAGTTTGGGCCAACTGCTTTCAAGTCAAGATTACTGTACTTAGATTCTACATCTGGTGCTACTCTAGCATTTGACAAACACTAATTCATTGAACTAATAAGATTCAGTATGGCCACTTGCACAACACCTAATAATTGCATGTCTCTCTCATCAGAAGATGGACATAAAACTTTTAGGACAATAAAATAAGTGCCATCCATTATCACCAGAAAGCTTGCATTCCTATAGTATGTTCACATGATAAACACCACATATTTCTGAATAGTGTTCCTTTATGTTTTATAAATCTCTTATATTCAATTTAATTTTGAAGCTACCAAACTGCTGAAAAATAGGGCAGCAGTTCCCATTGTATGATTAGGTAATATATTGAAGTAGAATCAAATTATAGGAAAGTGATATACCTTAAAGTTGAAGACAATTTAGAAGATGACAATTCTATATAGAAGAGAAATACATATCAATTGTTGCCTGTTTTGTGCATATTTTTCTAAGTCGGTGGTTATTAATATATGTCTATATATATTTAACACAATTCTTGTCATTTCTTGTATAAACTTTGCCACTTTCTTTATTCACTTTAAAATTTACTGTTTAATGAACTGTATAAGTAAAATATGTAAGATTATCATGTACTCAGTGTATGAGAAAAATTACTACTTTCATTTATAGCGTTTTGAACCTGAAATGTGGTAAATTTACCAATTTGAAAATCAGTAACAATAACAGCTGTTAAGTGGGTTCCTGTGAGCCATGTGGAGACCAAACCTTCCTGTGACATGAAAAGGAGCTTCAGCTACTGACTAGTTCTTTGCCTTTCTCCTGATATCTTCAGTTTTATAGTGACCTTTAAATATAAATTAAGGATTGTCATGCTCGCCTTGTAGGTTATACTTTTTTTAAATGAAACTATTGCAAAGGAAAGAATTGACAATGCATTCACAATTTGTGGCAATCCTTAAGCTTAGATCAAGAAGATGAATAGGGTCAGGGACTTAGCTCGGTGGTTTCAGCACCTGCCTCCCAAGCACAAGGTCCCAAGACTGATCCCTGGTACCAAAAACCAAAGGAAGAAGAGGTAAAAAAATCTCCTTATTTAAAAAATTTTTTATCTCTACATTTATAATGTCAGTTTAATATTTCAGTTTGATATCTAAAGGTTATTTTATAATGTACGTTTCCTTTCCTAAGTAATATATTTCATTTGAACTTGTATAAAAATTATTATACTGCTTGCTTTACTCCAGATATGTGATTATAAAACTAGCTACTTTGGAAAATTCAAATTATTTTATTTA